ATTTGAGAAAGGAGTAAGTGTTTTGTCGGGTTTACGACGACGTTTCAGAGTTGTGGAAATTTTATATGTGGAACATGGGAAACGGGAAGGTCGAGGCAGAACGAACAGAAGCCGTGTTAATGCGGGAAACGATCGAACGGTATTTCCTGCGTGCATCGATGCGTGTGAAATAACGCGTATACGTTAGTTGTAAAAAGTGTTTGCGCGCGATTTTATTACGGGATTTTTATACTCGTTAATTGGTATACGCGTAGTTCGTAGTTTTCTAATAACGTAGTTTAATTAATATTTATCGTTTTGTTTATGGAAATTCGATGAATTAAGGCTTCATTCAGGAGGAAATTAGTAGAGTAGATAAATGCGGCTCGATAAGTAAACTGGATGTATTTATTGATTGCAACTTGTGTTTTTTCTTTTTTTCAATTTTGCAATCGTGAAGGTTTTATCGCTTTCTTCGCGTCGGTCTTTTCAATCTAAATAAATTGTTTCTGAATCTCCTTAAAGTTTATTTAGAAGGTAAAAAATACGTGGAACTCTGAATGTCGCGATGTATCTTGGAAAATGAAGAAATGATAAATAGAATATGAAGAAGGGATATATGTTTTCGTATTCTAAAAATATCTCTTCTCTGTATTTAAAAAAAATATTCTTTTCTCTAAATCTTACATAACGAATAAAACAATTCCCTGTGATTCGTGGATGAAAATTTTCTTTATAAATTATTTGCACGTTTAAAATGATAGAGGATACAAGGGCAAGCCACCCCTAATTTACAAATTACTCACCTCACGTGACTCATCCCTTGTACCTACACGTAACTTGCGTTCGCGAAGTTTCACCCCCTTTTTCGATTATTCAGGCAGAGGCCACCCTTCCATCAATTTTCATAGAAATCCAGCCGTCCAAGGTTATTCTCGCGAGTTTCTTTCTCTCTTCTAACTGACGCATCGAGGCCAATCGATGACTCGAAACGTTCCTCCCTCCCCCTTCCTTTATTCAATTCAATCCGTAATTCAATCCCTGTCCTTCGTGCCAGCTGAACTTGGAGATCCCGTTTTTTTTAATCGGATATATCGGTATACACCGATTTCCCCTTCGAAGGAGAAAATTCATTCCTCTGAAAATCGCCTATTGCACCTTCGTTTAAATCGAGTTTACTCCCAATTATTCGCCTCACGTCCGTCCTTATTTCCTTTGAATCGCAGCGAAGACTGCAAACACGCAGGGAGAGAAAAAAGAGAGAGAGAGAGAGAGAGGGAGATTGTGCGGGGGTAGAGAAAGGAGAGTCGGTTAGGTGAAATGTCGACTTATCGATCGATCCTACTCGAAAGCGAAGCTGGCTGACGCAGTTTTCAGGTTTCACTTGGCTAAGAGCAGGCTAAGAGTTATTCTATAAACGCATCGCAAATAGGCGAACGGTCGCTGAAGCATAAGAATAAAACTCTTTCTCAAAATTAAGAAAAGAGATGCGGTCGTGCAAGGAAAATCGTCTAATCTGATTGTAACAACTCGTGGTCTTTTAAAGTTAAAATAATCATCGATGCACTCTGATGTTATTCTTAGTAAAGAGAAAATAATGGATAATATAGAAAATCTCGTGCAATAGCACGACGAAGTTAATCGAAAGCTGTGAATATTTTCGAAACGTATATTTAATATTTCAAAAGTATTAAAAAAATCGTATAATATGTATAATTGATTCCTTTCACTGAACCTGTTTTACAATTTTTAAGAACTTTACGTTCCTAAAATACATCGCAAGCAGAGTATCCAAAAATCCAAAAATAGAAAATCTTCTTCCAGTTTCGTTGACCACTTTCGAGGTCATCAACGGAGCTTATGCGATCGACTGTACTCGTAGATTGCTTTGCAATAAACACGGAAAAGTATTTGAAAAAGATGAAGAAGAGGTGGAGGAAAGAAGGAGGTATCCTTTTTATCCCAGATGCGTTTCCCAACCTTTCGAATCTTTTCCGTCCCATTGGAAGTTTGACGCTGTTATCGGGAAAATGTGACTACCAGATTTGTTTTCCAATATCGACTTACATTCTTCCCTGCTCGCTGTCCATTCTGGCTCGCGACAATGGCGCGACGATGCCGCGGAAATGACGTTTGCTTCCATGAAAATTCGCTTTCCAAGGGACAACAAACGTTGGAAAAGTCGCCATAAATTGCGGCCGCGAGACACGCGCGCCTCTTCCTCTTCCCCTCCCTTCTCTACAACCCATTGTGTGCTTCGGATCTATCCCGCTTATCTTTGGGAAACGGGTGGTCAGAGACGATCGAGTTTACATAAATTTTTCATACCTGCCTGCCCCTCTAGTTTCGTTTGCAAGTAATTTCGATCAGATCACCCGTTCGCGTGTTCTAAATTAATTTTGAACGACTTTGAACGACATATTTTTATATTCGTTCAAAATTTTGCCCGAGGAATAGAGAGTTGATATTGAAATTAAAATTTGTTTTTTAAAAAATTCTCACGATATTTTCTCTTATTCCTTTCGTGCCGTATTTATTCAATTTCTCGCTTTTTGGGAAGGAAAAATGAAAAAAAAAAAAAAAAGGAGAGAGCCAATTATTATACATCCAGGCATCGATCTCGCGGTTCCTCGGACGAATGATTTCGATAACAAGTTTCCATAACAATAACACACTTGTGTTAAATCGCCAAACGTCGTCCCACAATAAAAACGATACGCACGCTGCGCGACTTTTAATCAATAAAGCCTCAAGACTAAACAAAAGAAGAAGAGGAAGAAAAAAAGAAAAACAGCAAATAAATGGAAAATACGACTTCTCTCCTTCATTTTTTTACTACATTACCTCCTACCACAGAAGCCAATCTCTTTTTCACCCGAGCAAAAAATAGGAGGAGGGAGAGCACACAGGTAGGAACGAAGCAATCGACCCGTGATTTCCAATTCTACGTGCGAGTATTTATCTTCCACGAGTGGAATGCAGTCGCAGAACACACAGAGAGATGTTATCGAGCCGCGACGTTCCAACCTTCTCCCGCGTTTTCATCTTCCCTCGCGATAAGAACTTCTTTCATGACTCTTAGCCAGAGACTCTCTCTCTCTGCCTCCTCATCGTTTTCATCGTTTCCCTGGCGTGACCGCGTGATCGACGTACCCCTCTACGCCAACAAGTTGGAGGAAGACCCCCGAAGGCGCGATCCCCTCCTCGAGTTTTGCAAAAATCCAACTATCATCTACAATTCAAATGCAAGCGTAGATTCGTTGCGAGAAAGTGATAGCTTGACCCTCAACAGTGGATGTGGATATGGATAGAATTTTGAAGGGATTGAATCTTCGAAGCTAAAATCTAATTTTTTTTTTAAATTAATCAAATATTACATTTTTCGTTTGAAAATAATTTCAAAACAATTTTTATAATAAATTTAGTTCCTATAGTATATAAATATTTCCATCAAATTATTTTTGTCGACATTTCACATTATATTCACGTTCGAATTAATCGTGCTATAATTTTGAAGGGACTGAATCCTCGAAGCTAAAATCTAATTTTTTTTTTAAATTAATCAAATATTACATTTTTCGTTTGAAAATAATTTCAAAACAATTTTTATAATAAATTTAGTTCCTATAGTATATAAATATTTCCATCAAATTATTTTTGTCGACATTTCACATTATATTCACGTTCGAATTAATCGTGCTATAATTTTGAAGGGACTGAATCCTCGAAGCTAAAATCTAATTTTTTTTTTAAATTAATCAAATATTACATTTTTCGTTTGAAAATAATTTCAAAACAATTTTTATAATAAATTTAGATCCTATAATATATAAATATTTCCATCAACTTATTGTTGTCGACATATATCCATATATGTTCACGTTCGAATTAATCGTGCTATAATTTTGAAGGGACTGAATCCTCGAAGCTAAAATCTAATTTTTTTTTTAAATTAATCAAATATTACATTTTTCGTTTGAAAATAATTTCAAAACAATTTTTATAATAAATTTAGATCCTATAATATATAAATATTTCCATCAAATTATTTTTGTCGACATTTCTCATTATATTCACGTTCGAATTAATCGTGTTATAGGAAGATCGTATAGAAAGAAATACGTTGCATTATAATCTCTTGGAAAGTATTTGTTAAAAGGATATATTTTGCGGTGGAGTGTACCACGTGCGTGCAGATTCTCCCACACGTGGGGCGGCCCCTCTTTCGTACTCTCTTCGTACTTCTCATTTGCCCGGCTCGAGGAGCCGTCTCTCGTGAAAAGGAGATTCGTGTGGCCGATTTATGTTTATTCGTCACACGGTTACAGCTCCGTGAAATCGCGATCCAACCACCCGATTTATGGACGTATTCAAATGAGGGTGAGTTTTATAAACGCCAGCCTGTTGGAACACAACCGAGTTCTTCCCCCCTCGGCTCGACTTACCCATTAAAATTCGCGTCTCTGTTATAGGCTTTTAATACGCTTCGAAGACCAAACGTTCGAATATCATTATAGGAAAATTATGAAAATTCACGATTCACTGTGCGCAAGAGGGTGTGAAATTCAAAGAGTCGGTGCGTGGAAAATGATCGAAGCTTATTTGTTGAATTATAATCGCGTAATTAGATCTTTCTTTATCTTTTTTATTATCGAAAATTATTCACTTCGTTATCGAAAATACGTAATTTATCGTGTTATCTGAATTTTTCACTCGTACATCACCTGCGTTATTCAACAATATTGAATTATTAATTTAAACTTGCACGAATCAATTGTTTGGTACAAAATAATTGCAAAGAATAATTAGATACATTGATATTTTTCTAGATCCTCCAATAAATATGTATATTGTTCTTCGAGCAATATATTTCCATATCCAAGAAGATAGATCAGCTTTTCAATTTTCATATCTCCAGTCTCCTGATTCTCATTTGCTTGCGAAATAACGGCGCGTATATACGTACACGCGATAGTACTTAGGAAACGAAACGTTCTCGCCGTGTATTTTATCCTCCTCTCCCTTTCGAGTTCCTCTCGATCTTCCCTGCTCGAGCGTACCCTTTGAAAACAAGAGGAACAACAGGAGATACCGTTGTTGCTCGCGGGTGGAGTCGAAGGTCGATTTTAATGGGGATCCGCGGCAGTAGTGCACGTAAGAGTGATATACTGCCAAGAAGAATTGCTTTTAATTGCTGTTGGGTGTCCGTGACCGTAGACAGGACTCTTTTTCGCCTCTTCTTAATTCTTATTATTATTGTACACGGTTTCTCTCGTGTTTTCTTCAACTTGAAAGAAGAATATCGTTCCCTGGAATTATAAATGGTTTTAGTTATTATTGTTGGATAATTTGGATGATTGGGCAGTTTTGTTATTAAAATTTGAATAATATTTAGTTTAGGTTATAGAGGTTTTTCGATTTCTTGTGATGGTATAGAGTTTGGATAAGGTGATAAGATATAGAAATTCGATGGATCATTGTAATAATCATTTCTTTTGAATTGTAAAAAAATTTTATCCCACGCGATAATTTATACACTTTCGTTGTAGAAAGTTTTGTGAAACAGCGGTTTCACAAAATCAGAAGCTAGTAGAATTTCGATTGAGAAATTTCATCGCGGTGTAAAAATTATAAATTAGTTAATTTGAATTCTACATTACGAAAAATTAAGAATACGCAAGTGAAATAAAAATTTATAATTCATTTTAAATTCAATTTGATGTCCTGATTTATATTTCCCCCTCAAAAAAAGTATCATCACGAAATATTAGATCCTTATAAATACTCTTTGCACTATTATTCTCGTATTTTATTCCACATATCAACAACGATCAAGAATTCCAAGCAAAAATATCATTTCTGAGTATCACGATGGAAAATTGAGTTAAGACAATCACAATCGAAATTTCGATCAATCTGTCGCACCACTTCGAGCCATTTTCGATTCAAAATGCGAAAAGGCGAAGAATAAAATTTTTCCCTGCCTCTATATAATAATTTCACGAGGTTGTTTCGATGCCTTTTGATCGTCGAACGAAAGAAAGCAATATCGGCCGCTCTTATTGCAACGTGGTGGCCCCTTTCACAACGACCATTGTGACTATCCAGTCCTCCTTTTATGAAATCCACGCAACTACGGCTGCCCCCCTTCCCCATCCGTTTATATGGAAATCGAATGCGCATATCGTTCCAGCGTCCACTTACCTTCCACCTCCGTCCCACCCTCCCGGATACGGTTTGACCAGTCATCAAAGTCAAAGAGGGAATAATCTGATTCACGCGGCGCTACCGGCATCGACCGGTACACGTTCTTTAATACCCTCCCTCTCCTCCTCCCCTCGATTGTAAATTCGCGTAAACTGCGTATTATCGAAGATTGTAAACCGTCGAGATTAACAGTTTCGCCTTTCCACCTCGAAGTGCCCGTGTCACGTAATGTTACCCTTGTTGGAATCAATTCTTCTGACCTTATTGTTTCTTAAATCTCGCTCGATTAAAAGCGATATTCACGGGTAATAATATACGGGCTGTTGTTACGATATGTCATTTCCATTGGAGCTGTGGTATTTGGGATTTTTGTTTTGGGAATGTTTAGATTATAGTTCTTAGAAACCTAATGGTAAATATATTATTAGTTTTTGTAATTTGAATTTGTGCTGTTTTTAAGTTGCATCTTTTTAGTATAACACTCGAAATTGTAAACATTCAGAGTTTGTGAAAGTCTTTAGTGTCTGGAACGAATTATTCTCGAAAGAGTGCCCATCTGCGAAAAATATTCTGAAGAGCAACTCTCGAGAATTTTTGGTCCTCGTTTATTCACGTGTGACGGGATCCAGAAACATTCGAAAGTATCTCTCGTTAACTTGTGCGTAAATAATCCAAAACTCGACTCGAAATTAATAAATTATTAATTAAAAATTAAAAATTAAAAATTAAATTAAAAATTATGCAATAATCGATTTAATATTATATTTAATAATTTTTTCATTTCATTTGATCGAGAGTGCGATTAAATTTTCTAAAAAAAAAGAAGAACACTTCGATGCCTCTATCTATCCACTCTTGCATTCCATTTCTTCCCCCTTTACACCCCCTTTAAATGTTCCAATCTCGCGGAACACGTGCTCGAGAAAAGAATATCATCAGATAGAAACGAAAGTACATTGACGCACGATCGAACGATCGAGCCGGCAGTACACGCAACAAGGGAACCGATGGATCATCCTAGATGACTTTGCAAATCCGTCGATCGGCTGGAAGTCGTGTAACACGAGAGAATCGACCGAGGCGAGCGTTTGTAATGTCGGTACACGGATACAGTCAGTCGCAGAAGTTGTTGTGTATATTACGCGCAAAATTTATAACGAATATCAACGATAATTCTTTTATCGTGATATGTGAAGAGGATAATATAAATTGTGTCATTTTTTTTTTTTATTAGTGGAATGTAGAAGGGGATGAAATTTTATTGGAATTTTAATATCGTCCTTCATCTTTTTCGAATATAACTCGATGATACGAAAGCCTAATTTTAAAATAATGTAAAATATTCACCCTTCTATTATCTAATAATGTAAAAAGTCTTAGAAACTTGAAGGAATGATAAAAATTCGAGGTGGCACATTTTTCTTCGAAAAATAGGTTACTCTGCGTGTAACCTATTTATAAAATTTTCGTTAAAGGGAGACGTTTTGTGATAAATAAGTTCTATTATCTTAGAAACTTGAAGGAATGATAAAAATTCGAAATGGTACATTTTTCTTCGAAAAATAGATTACTCTGCGTGTAACTTATAAAATTTTCGTTAAAGGAAAACGTTTTGTGAGATAAGATAGCATATGAAGACTTTTGCGATCGACTGTAGCAAGTATATACCTATTCGCGACGAATGAGGGAGGTCGTGACTTTCTTCGATCATTCTTGAAGGGTATTTTTGCTGGAGGAAAAGTGGAAAAAACTCCCTTCCTCCCCCTCCTCGTACTGCAAGCTGAAACGCGAATTTTACACGTAATCCAAGAATATATTCATTGAAAGGGAAGATTCGTGTAAAATGTTATTTATTACGGTTTTTTTCAACAACCGCGATGATTGTTCGATTGTTCGTCCAAGCAGATTTTCCTGAACACGATGAATCGACGGATTGATTCGACGTGGTGAACGGTATTGTGGAAGCAATTTTATTTTATGAAGGATTTTTTTTTTTTGCGAAACATTTCCAGTTTGCAAACCATCGAAATTCGATCTATATTCCTTTTCTGTTAAGATGTTTAACATGCGCAGTAATTTTGGAATTTTATCTCTTTGAATTAGAGATTTTTTTAAACATAAGTTTCATATTGTTATCAAATAAATTCAATGCAGCTTTTTTTAAATAAAAGTATTTACGTATATATTTATTTTCTCGAGAAGATAAATGCAATTCAATTGCAAATATTTATGTACACCATATTTTATTATCTCTTGTACAGTCACGTTAAAAAATGGACTGTTGTGTCACTGACAAGCGAATAAAGAGCAGAACATTGAATTTTATTGGTGTCAACACATTTATTTTATTTCATAATCTTTCTCGAATTCTGACGCATTTTATTTAAAATCAAAATCAAAAAAATCTTTCGAAATACTTTAGGCTAATTTAAACAATGAAATAAATAATTCTTCCCTATCACAACAATCAGATATTTGGATGAATATCGAATCCAAAATTCATCGTAAAATGATAATTTATAAGAAACGTGTATAGAAAGAAGAATCGATCGAGCTTAGAGGATCTATCGAGAGGAAACTCGACTAACCTTGCTAACCGAGTTTTGGTATCGATCTGCGATGCACTTGACTCGTTTCCGAGGCGAAAGTGAAAGCGAGCAAGAAATGAGAGAAAAGCTCGAGCGGAAAAACTTGCAGGAACGAAGGGCGGTGTACACAAGCGCCATTATATCCTTTTTAATTATGGATAACGAGCCTTTGTCGAGTAAATGCTCACAAATCCGAGAGAATTTTGTATCAAATTCTCAAGTAAATTCTTCTTTCTTTATAAATGATGATAAGCTAGGATTTAGAAATTTTATATCTCACTCTCAATTTGTCTCTCTTAAGTTGTTCCAAGATTAGTGATATTTCTTTTTCAATTATATATATATACATAAAATTGCGTTTTCAAATAAGAAATAATTCTTCGAACAACGTCGTTCCTAGAAAAATTTCCAGATCGAGAGATAAAGGAAAATAATGTCGATGTTATGAAAAGTCAGCACATTTCATTTGTCTTGGAACGAGGAACAACATATTTATCATCGAAATATCGCATTTCCTTTTCCTCCGCGAAGCATATTGTTGCATTTTGCTGCAATAAGAAACGTGTCATCATCTTTTAAATACGTTGCAATATTTTTCAAAATTACAATTCTTGCTATTATTAATAAAAAAAGAATACTTTTTTCAAATCATCCAATACGAAAATCAAATCTAGCTATAAAAAATAACATATTTCGATGCATGAACATTTCAAGATTATAGGAAAATGAAGAAAAAGAATGTTCGATAATTGGGATAATTGGAATCGATGTGTTTCTGGAGTCCACATGGAGGATGTTAATTTGCAATATTTGGTTACTTATTCTTCAATATTAATTATCTCAATCATTGATCTTCGATTTACAAGCCCAAATAAAATTCCATCCAAATATTCGCTTAACATCCTCCACCATGTGGACTCCAGAAACACATTCTGGCGATGCACATCCCAATTATCCCAATTATCAAACATTCTTTCTCTTCACTTTCCTATAATCTCGAAATCTGAATGTGAATCTGAATGTTCTGCGAGCCAGATGACTTCCAATAAACCACACTTGCGCCGCACGTGTGCGTGTGTTCGAGGAAAAGTTTCTCGAGGGGGGTGGTCCGTTCTTTGAAACAAATCCATCGAGCATTTCCTGTCTCCCTCTCCTTCGCTATAAATGGCAAGAGGGACCTTTACCCGTTTGAAAGGGGAAGGAAAGGAGCAAGGAGAAAGGATGAAAGGGCTGGAGGGGAGGGTTCAAGTTACGATAATGGCGGGCATCGGTAAATTATGCCAAGATGAGGGAAAAGGGAAGGAACCGGCTTCTGCAAGTAGATCGTCGAAGAGGCAGACTCCGAGATTGGCGCGATATGGAGAAAAATACTTTTTGGAAAACATCCTTCGATCGATTCTTTTTTTTTTAAAAATTCGACCCCTCGAGCATCCAGGAAAAATTTGGGGATCGATCTCGAAGAAAATTGGCAAAGGGGAATGAATAATAGGATCTATCTTACTCCATCCTGATCC